TTTATGGAGCACTGTGGTTTCACGGCAGCATAACCGTAATTGACAGACGTTGATTTACTGATAATCCTTGGCTTTGCTCTCACATTGGACCTCATAAGGAGTGGCATTGGCTGTCAGCCCCACATGTCCTTGAGTCAAAGCTGCATGTTGCCCTTGACACACACCTCTCTCTCTCTCTCTCTCTCTCTCTTTCCATCCCTCCTCTCACTCTGTGTTGCTCTCTCTCTCTATTGCCTTTATTTTAAAAAGCTGTATACCCACAGAATGGCTCACTGCAGATGTGATTTTATTTTGCTGACAGAGCACAGATATGATTACATGCGGAGCAAAATGTAATTTTCTCAGGGGAGCTCTGTAATTACATTTTTTGATGCCACAAGACATATTTTAGTCACAGCTGGTTGAAACAAGAATTAGTTTAAATTCAATTTTGCATAATTTTATATTATTGCATGTAGAACCTTAATGCAGATTAATTATTACCAATTTGACTGAATAACAATTTGAATAGGAATTTTCCCAGATCTAATTCACAGCTAAAATTAATGGAGACTTTTATTGTTTGGTGTGTAAAATGCGTAAAAAAGAAATGCAGATCAGGTTTGTTTGACAAACAGTCACTATTATCTAAGGATTCAAATTCTGATGTTGTGGAAATTTTAATTGGTGAGGTCTGAAATAATTACTTCAGAAGCAAATTGTCTTGTCGTTTAGTTTATTCTTTGCAAAGAAGGTCAGGAGTGAGACAAATGACAGGATGGAATAGAACTTTTTTTATAATACTGCATAAACTGCCTGTGGTTAACACTTTCTCTTAAGAAAAAGAACAAGGTTGAGTTGAGCTGGTCAAAACCAGTTCTGAAACTCATGAACCCATACAGGCAACTTCGAAAGTGCAAAGGCTAAGAAAACAAGGGTATCATGCAAGGGTCAGACTAACCAATTTTTCCATTACCCCGATCAGTTCTGTTCATATGCAAAACTATATATAAACATGACATTTTCATTATTGTGTAGCTTAATAATAATCTATAACAACTATGAAATATGTCTAATTTTTAGTTATTATTTTATGTAATATATCCAGTGTTTCTACTGGATTGTTTCAGCATATCCTGTTTAAACCATCTGTATCTGACTGTATTCACATCTCCATCTCCATCCAGTAGTTGAACACAGAGTGTATAATTACACAATCAAAACTGTATACTTGTAGTACTACAAAGTGAAAAATTCCTTCTTGTTAACATCAGCAGAACGATGTAATTATTGCTTCTCTCTTCTAATCCCATTTTTTTCTTGACTGAGATCTTCATTACAGCAGCACAGACATAAAAGAGGAACAGGGATTCCTGTGGTGAAGAGAGACCAACTGTGTAAACCACTACATGTTAATTGTGTAAAATGCGTAAAAAAGAAATGCAGATCAGGTTTGTTTGACAAACAGTCACTATCATCTAAGGATTCAAATTCTGATGTTGTGGAAATTTTAATTGGTGAGGTCTGAAATAATGACTTCAGAAGCAAATTGTCTTGTCATTTAGTTTATTCTTTGCAAAGAAGGTCAGGAGTTGTTGGAAAAATACTTGGAGACAGAAGTTCGTGAACAGCCTTTGCGGAATTTATTCAAATCGATGCAATATAGTTCCAAGAACTCTTCAGAAAACCAAGTACAATCACAGAACAACTACAGAATTCCTAAAACCTCTATTGAGGCTTTTGGTCTTATACCCCTCAGTGACGTCATTTCTCGCCAGCAGTTGGTAATTTTTCATCAGCGGTTGGCATCAATTCTCCTTACAATGGTTGGCTAGTTATAGTTAACATTAGGGATGTCCGATAATATCGGAGGGCCGATATTCCCTAAAAAATTTAATATCGGGAATTATCGGTGTCGGGTTTTTATAACCGATGTTTGTTCTGTAGGCTTCAGCATTTCCGAGCCTGCATGAGCGCAGTATGGGACGTTTACCGGCGCGCGCTAGACGACGTATAACAACAACAACTACACGCTAGACTGCTGGTTGCTAACCGTGGCTAACAAGCAAACAATTTAAAGCTGAATGATTTTAATATTAACACAAAATAAGTGCAATGCACCTTAAATATTTTAACCTGCTATGAGCTGTTCCTTAACCAAACTAACAATTGGCTTAGAATTTACATTAGCACTCCTTCAGGTGGATAATACAATTAAACACATTAACCAAAGCTAGCGCTTAGCTAGCGATTAGCGTTAGCGCTCTTTTCAATATTAATACAATGAAATTTGAAGTTCTCTTATTTTGCACAGACAGTGTTTACATTTGGAAAGCCATGTTGCATTTATGTATCCAGTGGGGCATCACAATAAAATTAGGCATAATGTGTTAATTCCACAATAGGAGATATGTTATGTTGGTACCTAACAGTTCTGGTGTAAAAAGCCAGCATATATATATATATCTCGGTATCGGGTGATATTGGTATTGGAAATTGGGAGTTGGACAATATCGGAATATCGGATATCGGCAGAAAAGCCAATATCGAGCATCCCTAGTTAACATGTTATCTAATTTCAACAGAAGCGGATGGGAGTTTGGGGAGTTTACAGTTGTGTGTCAAGGTGATCCTGTAGTGAAGAGACCAGCTCTGTAAACCTTTACATCCTCTTTTCTTCTGCTTCAATGGCCTTCAGTTTTCCAACACCCTTTGTACCTTTGTCCATTAGCACACTACAAGTATTTCTGCTTGGCTTCTCACATGTGCATGGCGGCATGGGAGGGTTGAGCTTTTATGGGAAAGAAGGACGGGCGGTCAAATGTGGGAAAAGTGAAAAAAAAAAAAGTGAAGTCTGGGTCAGATGAAGGATTGAAGGGAAAAAATAAAAGGTGGTGGACAGGAAAGGTGGAATATGTGGATGTAGAGAAAACCCGTGGGAGCCGCCTTGCTCTGGCAGGCTAATTGAAGCTCTGTGTGGCAGTGGACTCAGAGCTGTCACTCCAATGAAGAGCCCATTTGCTGCATTTTTCAGGCTGTGTGCTGAATTCTGATGATGTTACAGAAATCCCAGACCACAGAAACCCCCCCACCCTTCTCTCTCCTGCATGGGGACACAGCACACATTCCCCTCCCCAGGTCTCCATAGATTATATGTAACAGGGTCAAAAGCATTCTGAACACGAGCAGCGACTGCAAAGTACAACATGTGAATATGAATTTGTTTGTTCTGAGAATTTTGTAAATTTGTTGGGCAATCTCATACATGATAATAAAGGTTTTCCCATGTTGGATTAGAAGAGATTATGTCTTCTAGCAGAGCACATAGCCACAAGCATCCAGTGAATTATTTATCATGAATTAAAACAGTCTGTTATGAAAATATTTATCTTAAAAACTGAGCAGAGTAGGAGTTTTATATTCAAAAGCTGTAACTGTGATGCAAATTATTGTTAGTATTGAATTTAATTTGAATTGAATTACCTGTAAATTTTGGGTCGGCTACTACACATTGACACTATCCAATTTCTCATATGTCCACATTTCAACATTTCTCAAACAAATTGTTCAGTATATTTTTCTTATTTTTCTTGTGTCCAACACAATTTATTGCCTGTTAAAAACAAATGCAAAAGGGTAGGACAGTTTGTTTAATATTCTACATTACTGTCAGATTTAATAAGTTCACTGTTTACCTCTCATACAGAACATATTTTTACATGTTTCCACAAAATGCAGATCAACTACACAGAGATTGTTAGATCATTGATGACTCTTCCTCCCTGCGCCCTCTTTTATAATTTAGTCACAATCAGATTTCAATGATTGTCTATCCCAGCATCCTAATGAGCTGCCCAAGCCTGAGAGTTATTGATCGATGCTATTGAAGGTTACACACACACATTTGTATACAAGCATGTGCGCATACACACTTAAGGCAACTTAAACTTGTTTTTTGTGCAGGCTTTCAGCTCATATATGATATTCATAATGGCTAAACTGTGAACTTCATTAGCAAATAAAAACAGCCTTGTTTACATCTTTGTAACAATGTATATTTCAGATAATTCAATGGCTTTTTAAATTATGTATTCTGCTTAAATAGTAATAGAAATTTCTTGACAATGAATGAACACTTTTTCTGAAAGATTCAAATTACAGATTTACAATTTAAATTGAACTCCCCTTCCTGAAATTAAATATTTCTTTTGCGCAGTGTAAGTGATATGACAGATCAGACTATCTGAGTGAAGCTGGGAATAAATGCTGAGAGGGAGCCACAGGTGCTGCACAGCGTGTCACTTAGAAATCATTAGTCAGTTGCCATCAATCTGCTTATCCAGGCTACGACAGAATTCATGTGGGGGCTGGTATTTACTGAGCAGGAACCTCCCTTTGATTCCATTGATTGTTACACGCTGTTTCCAGGCAAAAACACAAGGTTTTATTTTGTATTCAGAACAAAAGCCAAATGGAGGCAGAAGTACTCAGATATTTTACTTAAGTACAAGTAACAGTACCACAATGTAGGAATACCCTGTTTCAAGTAAAATTCCTTAAATTAAAATGTCACTTACAAATACCATCAACTACTAACCTGGAAGACTGTTACTTTATGACTTTACCAATCATTGCTTTTGAGATTTGTCGTATAAATATTTACATACTTTCCATAAGAATGAGGACAAAGGAACTCCTGCTTTGGAGAAACTGACTTTTATTGTTAAAATGAAAGACAAGAATTGTAAATTAATACATTACATTTATCTGAGTATGCAAAGTACTTAAGCTGTCAAGTAAATATAGTGAAGCAATATGTAAAAGTACTTAAAAATTATACTGAAGTACAGTAATTGAGAAAATGAGTTACTTCCACTGCAAAAGAGGAATTTAGATGAAAATAGGTTGTGTGCCACTGTTTTGCTTAGAGCCCTGCTGAATATGAAACATGATTCTACAGCATTTTAACACAAATCCCTCATTGGCCCTGAAAGTTGCTAAGGTTTGTGTTGTGGTTACAGGTTGATTGTTCTGACTTAATGACAGAGCTCCAACTTTCACATCAACCATCTTTTACGTGATCATTCTTCTGATAAGGACTCTGACATTTTCTGTTGGATGAAGGCTTCAAAAAAGACAAAATCAGTCAGCAACCCTGCAGCTATAAAGGTAGGCTCTGTTAGTGTGGAGGTATTTGTGTTGGAGAGAGATCTCACAATGCAGGAAGATAATAGATAATGACTCCTTTTCATGTAATTTCTTTGAATTTGTGCTACCTGGCAACCAGAATCAATGACATTGTACATTGTATATGCAGTGCTCATACCTGAAGGACTATTGACTGAGAGCTCTCTTGTTAAAGAGTGGGTACGGTATGGGCATTGTGATGTAACAGTCTTTATATTCAAGAGATGAAGAGGTAGAACAGGCCACACACAAGGACGGTGAGTACTGAGAGGTCATAGCTACAGTGTTTTGGATGAAAGCTTTTATTTTCTGTAAAAAATACAGTAGATTTAAGGTTCCCATTGCAGATGTCATTGACCGTAGACCTCCCACATTCTTGTGGAGGACTGTTAACCATTTAAGTGAGCTTAAACCTAAAGAGCTGTGTAAAAAGTGCTGTCAACACCAATAACAGCTATAGAGCATATGCAAATCATTGTATTTAACCATGTTTTACAGCTGGGAATCTGAGACCCCAAAACAGAAGTAATGCATCATTTTCTGTAGCAGACTTCTGAAGCATGTCAGTTGTTCAAAATAATGTTTATAAGCAGTTCTCATGGAATTTATGTCATTAAGTATCAATCTGATAAAACAATGGTGAGTATAGAGATAGATTTTTCAATGACAACAATATCTTTTCAATTTCTTATAAAGCTTCAGAAGGATGGAAACAATCTCCCATCCCATGATGCCCTGTCACAGATCCTACCAAAGTACAGCTACCTTTCCAAGGCAGTGGACGCTGAGCTCCAAGGAGCAGCCCAACAAGAACAGGAGAGACCAGCTGAGAGGCCAGAGACTACACAGGCCAACAAACCCAACATAAACCACACCTATCAAGTACATCATCCACATAAGCGGTCAGACAGACAACTATATTATATTATAGTGAGACTAAAACAAAGATTTTTATGGTTTCATTTCACTAATAACTTTATTTTTATAAATTGTGTTCATGCCTCAGACCCCCTCTGCATAACTTTGAGGATGATCCCCACATGGCAGAGATCACCGTCCTCCAAACTAAGGTGAATAGATTGAATCAATACCTAAACTCTTGAATCAATCAATCAGTGAAGCAATCCCCACTGTCACATCTAGTTAGTGAACAGTGACACAGTGAGTTAATGAGGTTGAAACTTATGCCAGGGTCCCAAGGTGTTATTTATGCATAACATTTTTCTCCTAGATGTGAGGTTTTCTTCATAATTTCATTTACTTACTTAAATTCACTGCTCAGATCTGTGGATTGGCTAACATTGTATCCATATAGATTTTATATTAAATCATGAAGATTTTGATAAATTGTATGATAGAAAGGCAGAGATCTGATTTTTAATTGGGTGATTTCATAGTGACAATGCATACATTTACAGTATAATACTGTTTGGAAAAGCCTAATTAAATATTGAATCCTCATAATCCAGTCCAGCTGTCTTTTGTCCTGAGGGGACAATATGTATAACAGCAAGGCAACTTTAATGTCTTCAAATCACAGAGAGGGGAGGGAACCTCCAGTATTCACAGGCAGAGACAGGCTCCCCTTTTATTTTTGACACATGATGGGACTTTCCAGACTCATCATGGGGAGCCGTCCTTCCCATCATGCCTGTGGGGCCCCCAGCAGAGACACCGTCTCATCTACAGTCATGATTGTCACCTCATCCCTGCCCTTTCAATTAGATGCTCAATTTCACCCTTGTGTCCCACGGGAGTCACAACCACACCATCCAAGATTGGAATCCCGTAATCGTCGCCCCCTCTCATACATGCAGCTGGACCCGGCTCTCAGTCTCCATTCAATTCTGTCTACTCAATGTGACAGAGAAGAGAACAATGAGTGCATATAAGCTGCTAGACAACATGCTCATGCCCTACACAGAGAAATGTCTTGATAACAGTATGATTTCTGGACAGCAGCTCTGATGGAAGCTAAAGTCAGTGAGGAAATGTGTATCTTTTCAAGCTGAAAGAAGGGCAACAACAATTTGAAAAGAAAGGAGAAAATTTACGATTTTGGAAGGAAGATTTGTATAAAATTCAATGTTCTTTTTTTTTGTCCGTCTTGCTGAAATACTCTCATGAATTTGGCATGAGTTTTGCTTCAACATTTCAGCAAACAGGTTTTCACAGGAAGGCATCGTTGTGAATGCATGACTAGGACTTATCCCAAATCCCTTGTTAAAGCTCCCATGACAAAGGACTTTAACAGGATAGGGTGTTATTGTCTCTTTGGATTTGAGGGGCCGGAGTCATGAATTCATTGTACCCAAACCTTAGGAAAATCACACTTTATGGCGTAATATTCTCTTTCGCCTTCCAGTCATGTTATGTTATATTCTTATCCAAAACCAAGCAAAATCAATTATTTATTGAGACACTGAGCCTCATGACAAACTCTACATGCAATATGTATTTACTGCTGGGATGTTTTTTTGTTTTTGATTCCCCTAGTATACAGACATGTCTCGCTGACTACATCCTGGGGTCAAGAACTCTCTAAGATGGGGCTGAAGAGACATCTAGTGGTGATGATCATATAGAACCACTTGGCATCAAATTTGTCCCTGCAGATTTATGGGAATTATTTTTCTGTTCTTGAAAAAAACCATTAACTTTTAGTCACTGGCAATTTTGTCTGACTCCTGGCTATTTGATTATAAATTACCCTGATGTGTTCAGTTGGGGGGATAGTTTTTAGTCATCTTTGGACTTACAACAACCTTGGTGGCACTCATTAAACTCAAACTGGCACTGTTTCACTATGAGCTCTAGATTAGCATTAAAAGGGTATACAAGGTATTGAATTACTCTTTTTGTTTCTAAATAACTATAACAAATATCCCATTTCAAGCCACTGGTCTAAGACTGAAAGTCCATATTTCTTTACCAGGAGGTAGAAAACTATCGTTCAGCCATGAGCAGGATGGCAGAAGACATCATAGCGCTGAGGACACAGGTGGTGACGTTGGAGGCAGAAAACAGCCAGCTCCGCATTGATCTGTCTCTGCATCAGGACCTTGGCCGAGATCTTCTTGATGACACAGACATTGATGTCATGACCAAGGCTGAGATTGCTGATCGTATAGGTAAGCCACAGCAGAGAACTATGTATGTGTAACTATATATTATACATTCATTACTATCCTGTCTTAAAATGAGTCCAAACCAACTCCACGCAAAAGCAATAAATTGCATTCTGTCTGAAAAATGTCTATTCCCAAGCAGACTGTGCTGTTTTGTGATAAGGCAGCTCATTTAGGCCATGGACCCTGATAAGCTCTGTGGGTAGTGCATCTCTTATCTCCTGAAGGACAGTTTGTGACCCACAGTAAAAAGGATGTTCCTGAAGGTCTCTCTGCTGGCATCAAAGCAAAGGGACTGGATTTAAGTCCCATCCAACAGAAAATCCATTTGATTTCAAAAAGCTTTATTGATGGGAGTTATGATCATTATTGATCAAATGCCCAAGCTTAAGAACTGACATGTCGATGATTCTAAATTTGAAAATGTATTGACATTTAAGTCCCATACTTTACAAATGCTAAAAGCACATTCCTATACCTAAAAAAAATCTGCACATGCACCAACATTACCCAGATTTATGCTGCTGTGTGCGATGTGTCCTCCTGTTTCTGTGAAGCCTCTCTGAAATTCAAGCTGGCCAGTGAGACCAGTAAGGCTGCCTTGCAAAGGGACAGGATCCAACAGCTGCAGAATGACCTGATTAAGGTTAGAATATACATGTACACGTTACACAAATGAAACTTCTATGTAATATTAAATTCATGTTGGTGTGTAACTTACTACTTTGTCTTCCCTTCGTGTGTGTTGTGAAGAAGAATGACAGTGAGAAAGAGCTACTAAAACTTCAGAGGGTTCACCAGCAGCAGCAGGAGGATCAGAAGTACCAGCAGAGTCGATTAGCAAAAATGGCAACTTTGGAGGCCACAGTGAAACAGCAGGAAAAGGTGAAGAGTCAGATACAAAGTCTGCCCTGAACTTAATGGTATAACTATCTGATTCTACAGCAGAGAATGCTTCTTCCTATGAATAACACAAAATGTATAATAGGATAATATCCTGTATACTTGTGCAATCTCAATTTTTCAGACCATTGAGAAGATGGAGAAGGCATTAGATAGCAAACTCAGAGAAAAGAATAAACATAGTGGTGATAAAAAGCTGGTGGTGAAAAAACAAAGAGGTAAGTGGAATCAGTGAGGTGGGGAACAATATGGGTTCACAAAAACACTTGCAGTCACCAGAACATCTCTTCATTTTGTGCAGGTGAGACTGACCACATTAAGGAAGAGATAGAGTCGGCCCTGGCAGCAGAAAACACTCGTCTCAGAGAAGAGCTGGACAGGATTCGCCAGCAGCCGGCCCCAGTCATTATACACCAGTCAGCACAGCCACTCAAGGTACTCAAACCAGTGTTCAAACAATGTGAAATGGTTTACAACTCTCATCAGATTGAAGGTCTGAAGACTGACTACAGCTCAGAGACCAGATTTCATGTCTTTTATATGTCAATATATTGTAAAATATATACTTTTTAAATATATCATACCACACAGATTTTGTCTTCCAGTTACTAAAATCTCAGTTTTACATATGCCATGTCCCCCCCAGACAAAAGATGCACTGCCACTCAAGGAGAGACTGAGTTTACTGAACAAACTGGATAAGGCTGAGGCAAGAGTCCAGACTCTGGAGACTCAGGTGAAAATATAAAATATATAAGATAATACTCTTGAGCTGTATGTTTCATGGTCTTATTAAGTCAATGATCCGTGTTTCATTCATGGTTGAATAAATGCTTTTCCTTCATTTGCATGTATTTCAGCTGGAGGAAAACTCTAAATTATGGGGCAGACAGAAACAAGAAATGTTGACCAAACTGATGGAGCACAGGCATGGTTTTGTCCGGACATCCACCACAATCCTTCATAATGTTCCTTCGGTCAGTTGAGAGCAGCTATCCTTCGCTTTATAAAATGTGCTATGTGCAATTATTGTATAATGTATTTAACATGGAAGGATTTCTGCTTCTTACAGAGATCTGTATCAGAATCACTGTATCAACAAAACAGAAGGAAGAAGCAGAAGCCTGTAAAATGATCTGCAAACACACACAGTTTTCTTTTATTTAATGTTCCCATTTTTTTAATCTTTCATAAATATATTTATATGTTGAAATAAGTAATACAATTACATATTACAAGACATATTTTGAAATCAGTTTAATTTTTGTATTCATCACTGGTTTATAGATAGTATAGTAGATAGTATTTCTATATACTTTTGGAATAAAGGTTCTGTACATTCCAGGTTTTTCAGTATATTGTACACACACACAGCCTACACATTTCCATCATGACTAAGTAAGTAATATACAGTACATATAATTACTGAGGTAATTTGTTCATGCACATTTTTAGGTTTTTCTTTCGTAATGTTTTTTTCTTGCTCTCCAGCTATGGTTAGAAGAGTTCATTTTGGGTTTATATTTCAGTGCTTTGTGAAGCTCTTTACAATAACTGTGATAAAGGGCTATAGAAATCAGCCTTCGACTTACAATGTACCACAGTTTCCTCTCGAAGTTGGTGTTACCGACTAGTATGTAGAGGCTTCAAAGTCAATATTATAGGCTTTTCTGGTAAGAGAATGAGCTCAAAGGTACTCTGCACTTCTACATTGCGCTGTTTCTCCACTCTGAAGTTCTCAAGCATCTGCAAAGACAGAAGATAACACACACTGTTAATACGCTGCGTAAATGAGCCTCAGAATATGGTGAAACTCTTTATTCTCTGTATTTCTCACATGGATAAGGAAGATTTGCATCTCTGCCTCAGCTATTCTGCGTCCTAAACACTGACGGGGGCCGAAGCCGAAGCCCAGGCTCCTGAAGTAGTGCGTCTCTGTCCTCAGCCAGCGGGAAGGCTGATAGTGCTCTGGACGAAAAAACACCTGGGGGTCTCTGCCCATTGCATACAGCCCTAACTGGACCAGAGTCTAAAAACCAACACAGAAAAGGTGAACAGCTGCTCAAAACTCTGCTAAACAGACTGCTCATGTTTAGTTATGTTTTCATTAAACATCTCTACTTGTTTTACTTACCCCAGCTGGGATGTGGTAGTTTTGAATAATTATATCCTCTGCTATGTATCTTTGCAAGCTCACTGCAACCGGGTGTAACCTGAAGGAGCAGAAGACTAACTTAATGGTAGTAGATGGCAGAACCAAAGGTCATTTTCAGAACCGCTATATATTAGTGGGAAAAGTATTACTATTTCCTAAACAGTTATGGAATTTGCATTTCTGATAATACAAATGAGATGCAGCCGTCTTATTTCAAACAACACAAGGTGCACTTTGTATTGTAGAAAGAGTCGAAAGAAAAAGAAAACAACTTAGGAGCTGATGCACCTACATCAACATTCTGACATCTCTACAGCATCACTAAAAGCATTACTGTATGACACAGCCTTTTTTTTTTCACCTCAGTGTTTCCTTCAAAGCTCCCTTAACAAGAGGAATCCGCTTCAGCATCTCCAACATGTCTCCCTGGCTTTCAGCCCGAGCTGCGGCCACTTCTGCCCTCAGCTCCTCCTGGAGGTTGGGGTGCCTAGCTAGTTCATATAATGTCCACAGCAGCGTTATAGAGGTCTGAAACACACACACAGCATAAACTTTTAGCTTTCTTTCTTAAGAAACCCAAGAAGAAGCCATATTCCTGAAATAAATTATTTTTGTAATTGTTTTCTTACTGTATCTACTCCTCCAGCCATTAGCTCAGTGATGCTAGCCTTGATGTCTTCAATGGACAGCTTGTCAAGCATGAGCAGGCTAGCCAGGACTCCTGGGTATTTCTTTGGAGTCCCAGTCTCCTGCCGTAACTGCCTGTAGATGTTATGGATGCAGCGGTCCGCTGATGCACCAAAAGAATACAAATGAAATAGGAAACATATGTAGTACAAAGATCAAAATAGAATATGTGATTATCAAATACCCTAATGATACTAATCAAAGCCAATCAAACTAAAAGTGTTCAACCTGTTGTTTCTCTCAGCCCTACCTTGATTAAAGATCCCATCCCAAGCATCCACATGGTCCCGCCACACCTTCGCTCCAATCCGCCTCAACAGCCCAGGAGGTATGTAAAGCATGGGTGAGGTAGTCTTGAACATGACGGTGATGCAGTTAATGAAATGTTGAGCTTCAGGGTCAATGTAGTCCAGCATCAAACCCAAGCGTTCCCCATACAGCACTGAACTCACCGCTGTGTAGGACACAATGAACAAAGACAGACAAAGCCAAGCACAGTGTGAGAAAGAAAAGGACACTGGTCTACACAGTGCATGAAATAAATTATACTTGAATATCAAGAGAGATAAAAGCCTGTCTTACACTCTAGTGCATATTTAAAGAGTTCTTGAGAAAGGTCAGTGGTCCATTTGTTCTGGCCACTTCGCGTTATCTTTTTGTGAACTCTGGCCACAAAATCCTCGCCCACTTCGTCCAGCAAAGGCACAAAGTTTTCCAGCACCTTTGGGGAAATCACCTCCTTGTTGAGGATCACACGGTTTGATCTCCAGTCTTCTCCATTCCTGTAGAAAGATTGGATATGTGGAAGAATTTTTAGCTAAAGAAAAGGATCTGTACTTGAAGGTCCAGTGTGTAAAATTTAGGAAGCTCTATTGGCAGAAATTTAACACAATATTCATAGGTACGTTTAATTACTGTATAATCACCTGAAAACAAGACTTGTTGTGTTTTTATTACCTTAAAATTAGTAATTTTGTTAATTTTAGTCCACCATGTTGAACTGCAATGATTCAACAGTAGTCCAGAATGGACAAACCAAACATTGGTTCTAGATAGGGCCGTTAAGTGTTTTTCACACGTTTCACAGTCACCGTACTTTCTCTTATGTGCTCAGAAGGGGAGAGTGAAGTGAGGGTGTTGCAATAAGCAACGGAACTGCTCAATGCCACTAAATCCTACACACTGGTCCCTGCTTCATAAAAAACCTGATTATGGTGAACTTATTAATGCAGCATAAAGGGCAGACAGAGAAAATAAGCCTTGACTAATAGTACACAAAGACAATATTTAAAATAAAATAAAACCAAAACTATTAGGTATTACATTTTCTTCTACAGGTATTAACTTAAACTAGCAAAGCAACTATTGGGCAGTCTTAATAAAACAAAATACTGGTAAAACAGAATTTACAGATTTATACATGTAAAAAGAGATAATAATACCACATACTTCAGTAAAACTCCATATTTGCGATTCCTGAAGTCTCTGTATGACGTCCAGGCTTCAACTTTCAGCCTTTTAGGATAATGGCCCTCCGCTTTGAACAGGATAGCAGCATCTTCGGGATTGATGATATTTACACTTTCATAATAACCTATTTTTTCTCTAAGTCAGAGGAAAAGAAGGGTGAAAAGGCCACGTCAGCTTCTTGTTTTTAGAAAACATGACCTTGTAGATTGTCAATCACAGATATTTTTCATAAATAAAAATGTTTATATTTTGATCAGAAAATAGTTTCAACCTAGTGACGCAATTCAAACTCATTTGTTTTGTCTACTTATGCTATTTACCCAACATAGGCGGCAGTGACACGCAGAGTTATTTAATCACTTTAAGATTTACGCAAACTGCCTTCCGTACCTGTAAATGGGCCCAAAAGTGTTGAAGTTCTGCAACATGATGCGGTGAAGATTTCTGAAGCCATCCAGTTTCCAAAAATTGTACAAGTTAGCCACCCCATTCTTCCACAGTCCAGGAATTTCATTGAAAGGCCTGACAATGCTGCTGCTCTCCGAGTACACATGTCTGACCACCGGCATACTGCTGCTGCAGCGCACACCCGTTGTTGTCAGCATCACAGGGCTGCGCCACACACTCCACCTGGCCATCCCGACAACAAAAATGCTCACTCTTCTCTACCTTCAGCAGCTACTCTGGCTCTCCCAGGGACGTCTGGTGCAAAACAAGGAGGCTGGTCTAAATAGTCAGCCCCCCCTTGCTGCGGTGATCAAGGTTCTCCAGTTTAACGTTACAGCCAGAATACACCACAGAACAGTATCTCTATTGTGAGGGAGAGTACGGCCCTCACCTTTTGTTTAGCATGATTGTTTCCTGTAACCCTGTATATAATTCTGGTCACAAACAGCTTTGTTGTGAACTTCTGTCTCAACTGCGCAGTGAATAAAACTCATCTGAATCAGCCACAAAATTGGACCTCAAGGAATGTTTCTTCCACAAAAGACGAAACCATAACAGAAGTTTAGTTTAAATAACAAATGTAATCAGTGCATACATGAAAAACTTTCAGTCTACAGTTAAAATTTAGGACTTAATATATACCTATACAAATGGTAATATGATTGTTATTTCTTAAGCAGCTTTATGAGTTCTTCCAGCTTCATTGCAGTCTTAATGTCTCCCTGGATTTTAAGTCTGCCACTGGTGTAAGCAGCAAATGGTTGTAGCTCGCCTTGGAACATGGCCAGAAGGTCGTTGTCACTCATACTCAGTGTCACATCTGGCTCTCTTGACAACAACCCTGCTCCAGCTGCACCGCTACCTACAGAACACACAGAGCAATGGAGATATTTGATATATAACTGTACTTTTACTACAAACATTTGAGCATCATTAGACACATTTTGTACAACTTGGATTTGTATCAATGTTCTTAAAGCCATATATGAACCATCACCTTGGCTCAAATCCACATAGTAACTGTGATGCTGTCCATCTTCTGAGCTTATGTCAAACTGGAAAGAGGCCCCAACCTGGTGGACCAAAGTTTCAGAGAGCACGAGTTTGACCCCACCGAGCAGCTCTTCAACAGTTGTTGTGGCCCCAACTGCCTGAGGTGCAGTGCTGTGCTCATCTGTAAAAGTTATGCTGTCCTCTGAGGAGTAAAAAACAGATGTATCACAAAACATCATGATAACGGGTACATGTTGCACAAAAACAATTTTTTGTGTGTGTGTGTGTGTGTGTGTGTGTGTGTGTGTGTGGCAGGAGCATACTTTGTTGATGCTGTGAACTGTGGCCCAGAAAGTGCATGGCCAACTGCTGAATGGGGCCAGTGAGACCTTCAAGTCCAGGCACAGAGGGAGGCATGATGAGGGGTCCAGAGGGCCCTTCATCTGGTGCTTTTAGTAAAGAGCCCAGGGTCAGTTCAACCCTGTCCACCTCAAGCCCCCAGTGCCGAGTCAGCTCATTTATGTCCATCTGTACAGAGCAAGAAAGCATGTAAGTTTGATGTGATGCAGTGAAAAGCCAGCAGAGAGTAGCTCCGGTGTAGACTCACCCCGAGATATTCTCCCAGTTTAACTCTCTCTGTTTGGATCTCCCTGACAGTCTTCTTGGCCAGGCTGTGGGTCAAAGCATTCTGTGCTGACATCCTGGTCGAGGCGTTCAGGTCCTGGACTGATACTACTGACATGACGGGGTTCCAGATCCTGAACTGGATGTCTGCTCCCACTGCCAACACACCCTCATCACGAGTAGTCACCTACAGTGACATAATTTAATTTTCTATGAGTGGTGGGCTTCACACTGGTCATTTAAAATGTGTCACTATTTAAGGAATATAGAGACATGTATAGAAAGACTAAGGGATGACATAAGACTAAATACATGACATTCAATACACAAAGTTCAGAGTTTTCCTGGTATCAGTTTACTTTCTCCAGTTTCACACTGATCAACAGTGCACCAAGAGTGCCACCTGCAGGACGAAACAAATCACACACACAACTAACAGAGATGTTGCTTGAAGTTGACATGACCGCTAAGGAACTACGACTCCTCCTTCTACAATCTATGAAGACCTCCATAACCCAACATGTTTTCATCACTGTCTTTAAATTTTGTTTCCAAATGCTTGAGTTAAAAACTGCCTTAAACTCACACATTGAAATTACACCTAAAACATTATGCTATCTGATCAGAAAATGATCGACATGGTTCACACAGGTAAATAGTAAATCTGTTCCTAAAGCACTTTTAACTAAAGTAACGTGGTGTAAACTCTACAGTCCTCCTTCTGTGCAAAAATATAGTAAAAAGTTTATCCAACTAAGTAAAGTAAGTAAGTCTGAGTTAAACAAATGAAGTTGTTATCTTCCAGTATTAACAGGAGGAATGACCAAAGTAAATCATGTTTTAATGTACATATGAGAACCTGACAATTGTTTTAAGACAAACCTGAAACATTGTAAATAATAATAAACCTGTGGGACAATGTGAGGGAAACTACTCCTGACCACAGTTGCTCTCTGTATTTATTTAGTGCTTCAGGAACAACAGCAGCTAACTAATGATGGAGGGAGTATAGTGTATTACCTGGCATGGAGGGATGTTGAAAGCACGGGTGCGCAGGTCTACTCTCTGCCACTGGTCAATGAGGGGCAGCACAAGGACAATACCAGGGCCCTTTGGAGGACACACTCGACCCAGACGAAATACTACTATCCTCTGGTAGTTAGGCACAGTCTAAAAACAAAATGAGTCTCAGTTGTTTGTTTTATTCTCAACAAGAGAGTAGACATGTTGTGGGAGTAATAATTTCAGCTTACTTTCAGTACAAACCATCCTGTTATAGGAAATGTTACAAAGGTACAGATGTAGACGAGGAAGATAACAATCAGGTTGCAAATCCACGACAACCATCCCTGGGAGGCATCTTAAAGCAAAGAAACAAACAAAAAAGTCATCATTAGGAGTTTGTTTAGTGAAGCAGTCATTGGGAGACCTACTCGGTCTGTAGAAAACAGTTGCATGATGGGGCCTGTGGCTTTAATGGGCGCTTTCTTTAGTCTGAGAAAGTGACATCACTTGAATGATGTCAGTTAAGTCATTAAGTGAGATTAAGTGATTTTTACCAAGCAGGAAGGGTCTCAAAAAACATGCTACTCAGTTGCATTATGGGAATAGTAGGCATCGAGTTTGATTCATCCAAGGGACGAAATTTCAGTTTATATCATCCTCTGCTATTTTGACTATGCTGATGTGTCTCATTCTGACTCTGATTCAAGTCCTTGCATTACGTGCAATGCCATGTAGCATCGTGGGTTTTGGCATAAGTTGCACAGATTTCTATTAGTTTAATGTGTCGTGTTTATGTCTGTTAGTGTTTACTGTGTTTCACCTGACTGCAAGACAAAATAAAGAAAATAGTTAAAGGTGACGTTGGAAGCAGTAATAACACTTATTATAATAAAAGGTAAACCACTCATATTTAGACAGGGAACATGTTAAAGGGAAAGGGAAATACATTTCATTAGATTATTTTCATATGAACTCACCACGTCCAACGAACATAAGCCAGGTGCCATAGTTTATTATTAGTGCAGTTATTTCAGCTACCTACCAGTAAAGTCGTATTTAGAAACATTGGGCATGTTGTCAAATGAAAGTCCTTTATGGTAGCCGGGCTGTGTGAAGCCATCAGTGTCCACAAACAATCCAGGAGTCCTCGGACTTGTGGAGTCCCTCTGAGGGAGCAGCTGGTACGACTTGCTAAACATTGTGAACTGTTATTTCTTCTTTAAAGCAAGTTCATATCAACTGTCAGTCTCCGGCTGGTTGACATAGCATAAATAAAGTAGTTATGGTTAATAAAACGCAGGGTGCTTTAGCTAATCGTGCTAACTAACTAGAGTAGCGTCTTTCCGTGTTTTGTTCCAGCTCTTCTTCTTGATGTTTACTGTCGACTCGTATTCATCAGTAAATGTGCTCATTACCGCCACCTAACGCCGCTATAGCCCAGCTGCAGTTTCCATTACGGGACACAGCCCGAAGTTCATAAACCTTTATCTTTAAGATAAGATAAGATGTGCCTTTATTGATCCCCCGTAGGACACATTGAAGTCAGACACAGCAGCATAGGGGAATGTAGTGCAAGAGTACAGAAGTGGAAGTACAATAAGATCTCACAAAATACGAATATTACAAAATATAATAGAAAATATAAGACTATAAATGAAAGGTATATACACTATATGCAATATGCAAGTGAAAAAAAATGGTGTGCAAATATCTGAGCAACTTTGACAAAAAACTAAACTGTTCATGTGCAACTTAAATGTACATAGTTGTGCTGTTTATAGCAGTGGTTGTTTATGGCAGTGGCCCCCGGATGTTTAATCAGTAGCCCATGAGCTAACAAATAAATAAATATTGTATTTATATATATTTGATATGTAATATATATGTTACTAAAATAAGAATAATAAAAAATAGAGCTTATAACTCTATTCATCTGTCACTCTGAGTATATATTAAAAAATAACATGATATGATAACTGATCAATAACTGGTCTTCTGTGTGTCATTCAACTTGACACATCGGTGCAATTTTGTGTGAGCAAACTGTGGATAACTGTAGATAACTGTCGATATAAGAAGAAGCTTTTTCAAGAAGAAAACGCATGAAGCAAGAAACAAGGTGCAAGAGAGGCTAGGGAAAGTGGAGGTGGAAGAGTTTTTTCTCATTGTTTTAACAGCAGGTGAGTTGGGAAGACGTGAGAGCTTCATCTACAAGCTCAGGTTGGTGAAGGAAAAGGAAAGAAAGGAATAAACGACCCAAGATCAACATATTTGTCAAATACAAATTTTCCATATTTATTTAGGACAAATACTTACATTCAAAACACATATCCTCATTTTCATATACTGTAACAAAAATGCTTTTTTCTTGGCAACTAAGTACCACCACAAAATAATTCTGTCTGTGGTTCTTTATTAAAAAATATTTAAAAGAAAATGGTGCAGCAATCACTGAATCACTGTATGCTTATTTAATTTGACTGCCCTAACTGAAATATACATTTATAAAACATGTTGCTTGAGGGCTGGTTTACTGTGTTTTGTTAGCGGGTTTCATTCGGCTTCCCTAGATGCTTGTTTAGTTTTTGAACATGTCACACAGCAGTTTTTCCATTGGTGTGCTGCCGATGGTCCTGTGAAAGAACAGCTGCTCTATCTTCTGAGAGCTCACAAAGTGGAGGGATGGCAGCAGAAGTAACAGTCTCCCAAACCTTGATGGACAAGAACAAAGGGGAGTGAGTAGTTTTTATTGAGGATTTTATGACTAATACTCCAGATGCTTGCAGATCTTTGTAGTACGTCAGAGAGTTGCCTCAGGCTTACCTGGCACTTTGGCTGGGGTATACTGAATGCATGTGCTGACCTAGCAACACCTGTGACTGATCCTGCAGATTCTCCACCTGCTCTGGGTCTTTGAGGCTGCGTGTCTCTGCGAGTTAAACAGCCGACATTAGTTACAATGTCCATTCAATAACAAAGACATATTGCGGAAGGAATAACTCCTCACCTGGCTTGAACAGCACAATGGCTTTCAGGCAGGCAAACTCAGTAGGGTCAACCACCAGGGCCTTGAAGCGATTAAAGACCTCCTCCAGGATGCGCAGGTCAGCTGTGGGGAGGCTGATCTTAGCCTGCTGTGTGGGAGAAAGATCTGGCAGAGACAGAAGAGGACAGCTGTCCATGGGCAGGGACCACTGGATGGCACACAAGAGGAACATCTCGCTCCAAGCTTCTTCAAGGAGAATCACCTGAGGAAGAGGAAATACATGTTATCAGTCACACACAATGTGTGTATGTTTAAATCGGTTCAGTAAAACATAAGTCAGTCAGTCTCACCTGGTCTCGAAATGGCAAGTGAGCAAAAACAGGCAAATTTTTTGCCCACTTGACAGACATGAAGAGGAGTCGTGCCGATGTCTCATATATACTCTCTGAACAGCTGGAGGTGTATGGGGACATGCGACAGTCAGAGGGAGTCCGGTCTCTCTCTGAATCATTGGTTGTCACGTCAATATTCTCCTCCACTGTACATTAGAGAAAGAGTTAGGCTACTGGGAGTACAATATTGTTTATTTTTGTTTAAATGCATCAGGCAAGACCATTTTAAATGTATATAGCTTATTATATCATCCTTAAAGGGTAACCCCACTTATTACCGATCTAAGTAGCAAAACCAAATCATGAAATGTATTTTCTAAATAATTTTGCCCCATCTAAGTGGGTACTTGTTGTGTCCACCCTAATTTAACTCCTATCATATGATCTCACCTTCCTCAGGCTCCAGTTTTGCACAGGTCTCTGCAGTCAGCAGGCTGACCATAAAGCGGTGGTTGTTATTGGGGTTGCTGCAGGGCTGTGTGGTGGCAGAGGTGGTGACAGAGGAAGTGACCAGAGGTCTGCAGATGACTGACGAGTAGGTAGCAGAGGAGGTGAGCTCACGTGTGGTGGCTAGGAGCTCCTTCTTAGTGTCCACACATATAGAGTCTAGACTGACATGGGCTGTGCTTCGAGGCTGTCGCTCATTCTGCACAGCTGCCAAAGGGACAGATAAATAATATATTATCTGAACCAGTCAATGCTTCAGGTAATCAATTATATATGCACAGATAATATACTCTACACAATCAACCTAATTCAGTTTTCTCACCATCTTTGTTCATGCCAGCTTGGAGACACTTCTTTAGTCGACAAGCTTGACACTGGTTTCTATGAGCCTTGTCAACAGGGCATCTGCCAGTTCCAGCCTGACACCTTTTTTGTGGTATTGGCAAAGAAAATTCTGATAAAGATACTGGGTACTAAAATACTAATATAAAATACAATTGTATTTCTTAATTACTGTTTCTGACTATAGGATAAAAATTTGCTCACCTGTAGATGAGTCTTCGTCTTACACTGCGCTTGAAGAACCCACTGCAGCCGTTGCAGGCATAGATGCCGTAGTGTTTACCACTGCTTGAATCAGAACACACTTTACAAAGCAGGCCATGGCCAAGTGCTTTACCTGGGACTGAACTTTGTTCTGTAGAGAACAGACAGCAGAAATGAATACTTAATATTATTTCACATAATTTTTAGGCTTAGTTGTGTTTTTTTCATTAAATCATTTCTTTATTTGGTCTCTTTTCCCTCCAATTGGCAGAATTATGTTGTGCATATTTCTCTGTGTAGAAACAGAAATATGCACATCATAATTTTGACAAAGAAAATGATCTGCACAGAAAAAAAGTTCTTGTTTTTTTAATTTGTATTCATTGTTTAACTTTTTTTTTTAGATCTTTCATATTTCAGCAGTTGCATATTACAATAATGAGTGACTTACCTGCTTCAGTTCCATCTGTGAAGTCATTAGAGTTGTCAGAAGAAAACATGTTCATTTTGGTCATGTGGTCCTGCTGTTCTACTGTCTGAACTTCACTTCACTTCATAAATTGTTTTTAAACAAATATAAGATTATCCCAAAAGTATTTCCTTCTCTTTATGAAGTTTTTCTTTGTGTGGTTGCCTGGCTGGATCAACACATTTTTTCTTGTGAAGTGTTGACAAATGGCAATACTTCCAAAACACAATAGATCTAGGGTTTGTTGTTTTTTCCACTAAAGTTTATAGCGTAAGTTCTTCATATATCATCAGAGCATTACTCCAGAAATTGTCAATGAAATTGATCCAGTGCTGTTGACTTTCTCTTCTCGTTTCTGATGAAATGGGGAGTCAATAGAGTCACTACTTGTCTTCTTCTTTCCTTCTCTCTGCCAGAATGAGTGCAAGCCTCAGTCGTCTGGGGGCTTTCTGAAGGAAGACAAGGAGATTAGCAATAAGCGCTGTGTAAGCAAATGCTGATTTGTCATCCTCTTAATCTTTACTGTCTATAATGGTAAATCAATCAGTCACACCACTTACTGTATTTAACAAAAGTGAACACAAATTTAAATAATATATTTTACTTCTCACCCACACTGCTATATAATTACTGAATAAAGTTGGCTGCTGCAAGGTAAAGGTCACCATTGTCTGCGGATTGTAACTGTGATCAGCATTGTTGTTTAGATTATTCACTGTTCAGTTGTTGCTTTGTACCTTTCCCAGATTATCAAATATGTTCTTATTACCATGTATTTTATGGAGAATAGCCTCACTCATGCCAGTCAAGGGGCCAGTGTATGATCATATAGCATTTTCGCACCTCTTATTTTGCCATTTTTTAATTGCTGGAAGATTTTATGTAATTTTGATTTGTTGTACGGTTCAAATACACGTCTCATTCAAGCTGTAATCTATTGTCAGTATAGATAAAACTAATAATAATTACATGTTGCACCTGTTTAACACCAGTCTAGAAGAAATATTACTCCAGTGGTGCACAACCTGATGCTTCCTAAGATCATCCATAGGTAGTCAACTACTACCCACGTTTTAGAAGTTGACTACAAGTCAGCAAGTGAACTATTTGACTAGAACTAATCAACAAGAGACTCACAAAACATTGCAATATGGATTATTTGTCCCACCCCTTGCACACATATGTTCACCTTTCTGTGAGCAGGGCATGGGGGTTAACAAGGTAGTTAAGACATTCCCTCTGTGCCATATTGGCCCAGTCAATGACATTAATGGCCTCAGGAGAATATAGCCACCCCAAATCAGCAAAGTAGCTTAACCTTCCATGAAATGTGGTCCCCTTCTTGGAGGGGGATCACGAAAGGGGGTGATGAGAAGAAAAACAATTAGTGGAGAGATTGAAAGAGCAGCAACAAGTTGACCCTTAATTCCATTCTTCTGCCATATGGTGACTGCTCTGTGGAGCCTCCGTCTACCTAATTAGTAACTCAAGTGCAACTTACTGTTATTGCGTGTTCACAACTCCTGGAATCACGTTAAGCTGATGGCTGTCATTGCATATCGCTAATAACATCTAATTCAGCTCTGTAATCAGATCAGAAAGTAGCAAAAACACAAAAAGTACTGATGTGCCATGTCCACAGTTTAATTTCTGTATGTAATCCTGATTAAGTCACTCTTGATTTTAGGAAAACAACGTCGTATTGAAAACAGAGCTCTTTCTGTTGGCCTAAACTGGTGTATAAAAGGATTACAAACTGGGGGCTGTCTATGAGGGTTGTGAACACACACACGCACACACACACACACAAGCCTGCTGTCTGAATGAATTGTATAATCCTGAAAACAAGGACAAAAAAGTTTAGATTTGGAAAGCTCCAATAGTTGGAATGGTGTACATAATAATAGTACGCAGCGAATTAGTTTTGGATTAGGCACGTCACTAATACAGCTATCACATAGGGAAAACTGGCTGCAGATGCAATAGTACAGTCAATCTTAAATCTGTATACTATCTTATACTAGTGCTGCTGCTGCTGCTAGTTCATATATATATTTCTGATATGCTTGAGGTTATTGAGTATTACCTCAAGTCAGAAAGCAGTGGAGATGCATTTAGCCCACTGTGATGCATATAAATAGAAACCAACTTCCTAATGATCTTAAATCACTTTATTTTCTGTTTCCTGTTTTCTTTTATTAAATCCCTCTACTGCATTTGTATTTTCTTTATTCAATTTGGGACAATTGTTTGTGCTTAATTTTGTTTTACTCTACTTGAATTGATTTTATTCTCCTTAGTGTGTTGTGCTTTGTTTAATGTTGTAATGCACTTCTTTGCTTAATGTAAAGCACTTTAAATAGCTTTACGTTAGATGTATGTAAATCACTGTATCACTGTGTACTATTAAAGCTTGTATTGCTTCGGCTCGTGTACAAAAAACAACAATTTGACTAATGTGACGAGCATACATGCCCAAGCCAAATGAACCTGCCAAAGGTTTGTACAAATACACAATATAAATGCCTTGAGGCCTGGTAGCTTGGCCTGCAGTCCTTTGTATCCAGACTGGGCTGACATAAAAAATAAGAATTTGCGTTCGGTCAGACAGCCAGTGAAGAAAATTTGACATAGTCAATTAAGTTTGGTAAGTTTATGGACACACATTTGCATTTCCACTGCACTACAGGTGTGGTACAGTACACATTTATACTCAAAACACCATCTAAACCTACTCACACATATACACATTTATACTGACCTAAGCAGTACTGAGTATGGTAATCTAGAGTGCTGTATCAGATTACATAACGCAGGTGTTACTCACATGTCAGGGGTGAGCTGATTATCTTATTCTTCACACTAGACATGGAATTTAGATGTACATATAACAGGTGCATATAAAAGGTCATCTTTGAGGAATGATTGCATGTTTCCTTCCAGTTCATGTTTGTGAACACACAATAAACAGAGCATACGTGGGTTTTTTTTTGGGTGTCTGACTCTCCAGTTGTCGGCACCGAGAAGATGCTGCTGCCATCAGCAAAGCGCTGCTTTGAGGTTTTGCCTGGCAGGGATAACTGTCATGTTTCTTCACTCCTCAGCCCTCTGATTGTTACGCAGATGCAGCCAACCTTTAGCAGCCTGCTACCATGAGCCAAATGGATGATTAAGTATTTAGTGGAAACATTTATGATGACAGAGCCCTGCAGATGATTTGAAGCACGTCACCAGTAAAACCCTCACTCATTTGCTTGGCAGATCAGACAGATCAGCTTTAGTTAAGTGTGAGAGTGCTGTTACCTTTCTACATATTTTCAAATACACTGGAGGCACATGCACTGCCGCAGGCACAAATGTGCCAGACATACTTTTAGTGTCCTTCAGAGGATGCCCTTTATTCACAAATCTTTGTATCAGTCTAAGCAGCTTTTTGATATAATCTTGAATGCCAGCTATTGACTGAGATTAACTTTTAAAGTTGTCGGTGTCCTCTTTATGCACAGGGAGCAGGTGCCTCAAGTTGGTAAAGCATACAATATGTCATAATTGATTATGTATTTCTTATTTTTAATTTTCGTGTGCTTTGAATTCATAATCCTAATGCAAATGCAAATTCCTTTAGGACTATGATAATACTCTGTATATAGTTAAACAACTTTTATAATGAAAAAAAAATATATAATCAAAATAATAAAATAAACTTAAAAAAAACCCACTTTTTATACAGACCTAAAATGTAATGCTAACAATTTCAGATGAATAAGATCAGTAATATGTCCCAGCAGGATAATCTTATGCCTGCTCTGTTACAACAACATAAGCTTATGTTACACTGCACTCAGCATATCCACCTGATTCCAATAGCTGCAGAGAATGGTTAACTAAGCTTGCATGGTTAAGCTTTGTTAGGTTCAGTTCAGCGTCTCCTCTGGTCCCCCCCAAGTCAGATGAAGTAGAAGGATTGAGGTGTCAGCACTATGCCTCCCAGGGATTGCCCCGCCTTGCCATCTGCTGCCACTACTGTAATCCATTCGATGAGAAAATCAGTTGTCTCAGTCCATATCAAAGTCATGTCCACTCAATTCAACAGGTAAACTAACACCAGTGAGTCTGTAAAGTCCATTTAATCACTGACAAAGGAACTGAGAATCTTGTTTGGTTATGTCCTGTAAATAAAAGCTCACGCTATTTGGCATAGATAAAACTAAAAATAAACTAGCAGAAACTTAAATATAAATGAACACTGACACGATTAAACGGTTTCAAACCTGAAATTGTTTGCTTTTCTTACAGCTAATTGATAATTTTGTCACACCATTATCCATCCGCCTTGTTCTTTTGTTGTCTAATGACATCCTGAATAAATATTAAAAAGAGAGCCCAACATGCTCTTTTCCAGTGATTCTCAAGTTTTTTTTCCCCCATTTGAAATATATTATTCAGCCTGGAAAGAAAAGCCTTTACAAATTTACAAATTACGTAAATTACACAAAAACACTTCATTTCAAATGTTTAGAATCCATCACTAAATTCATGGAAATGTTTTTTTAGTCCTCAACAATAACACAAAGACAACACTGTAGTTGCATTGAACTGCATCTTTTTGATGAGTTACATTTACAATTTACTTCCTTGACAGTTTTGCCTTGACTATGTTAGGAATTATGACTGATATTTTCAAAATTAATATAAAAAATGTCATCTATCCCCTGCTGTACTCCAAAGTGTTCCCCCATTTGAAAAACATGTTTGAATCATATAAGTGCCTCCACCCAACCTAAATATGTTTCTATCTAAATGCATTTGCTCATTAGAGGTAATACAAGGACAGAAATGGATCCCTCTCAGTTAACTGTGGACTTTAGAAAGTGGTCAGATACCCCCATGGGTTTCCGTTTTCTCTATTTGTCAGGAGGCACGGGATGAGTGCTGTCTCACCTGTAACTGCACAGGTCTTACTGAAAGTTTCAGTCACTGTTGCAACATCACAGCCGATTTAACGGTCAATCCCGGGTTGACCTCTAGAGGGAGACAAAAATCCTTTGACTGTGTTGTAAAAGTGTGGTCAGTCACAAGCAATGTAGCTGATGAGAGCTGAGTCAACTCACAGCTGATGAGTCAGAGATGATGTGTACGTGAGACTGGAACATTTATAGGCTTGATTACAGTACAGTAACAGTAATACGATTTTCTAGGTCATATCCAACTGTTCAGGCCTACTGCATTTACTTCAGCTTTTATTATGTTTTTATTTCTCTCTATCATGGTGCACTCTCATTATTCTTATTATTGGCCTGTCAGCCATCTAACCTGTATGAAAGATACTATACAAAAGTTTAATTGATTGATATCCATCATTAAATTAGACCTTGTTTTGTTTGGAGCAATCTAACAACTAACAACTCTATGAAACCACAGACAAGAATGTGATACTTGAAATCACAGGAAAAATATGTCTATTATGTAATAATGTGAAATTCTGTGTGTGTGTGTTGTTATCATTATGTTGCAAAACACATTCCACCACATACCCGAGAAACCACAGGAAATGCTTCTTTTTCCCTTCTGATACCCTTGCGAAGACACCTGCGAACATTTCCATTATTTGTGGAAAGGAAAGAAGAAGCCTATTTTCTCCCTCACGCACCCAACACACAGTATATTGCTCATAGCCTATTTCTCTTTCTCTCAACACGCTTCTCTCTCTCTTCAACTCTGTCACCATTATTGCAGCAACAGATGGTTTCCTTTGTAGATATTAACTTAACTTAATGGCTTATATGTCATTCTCTCCTCAAAATTTTAAATTCTGTTTCTGTGCTGTATTTCTTCTATATGAGCTTTAAATTGAACTATTTCTTTCTCCCTTGCTCTCCCTCTGCTCAGAGACCACTTGCTGTGTTTTTGTGTTAGGTTTTTCCGGTGTCATTCTCTTACAATTGCATATCTACTTAGCATAGTTGTAGTTTACAATTTTATGGTTTAGGTATCTTAAAGGAGTCTTTACTTGCTTTGTATGTTCTGGGTTTCCTCCATACAGAAGTAAAAGTTGGACACCCTGGAAAATCTAAACTGCCAATATGTGGTTATTTTTTTTGGTTAGCTTTGTGATTATACTGGCAACCTGTCAAATCACCATGTGTAGGGACAACATGTAATGTTAATTAACTCTAAGAATTACATTAGTTAGAGTAACAGATGTTTAGAAGGAAAAAAAACAGAGACAGTGTGTGCACAACAACATTGTTTTATTACATTTCAAGGCAAGACTACTAGCTACTGGTATACTGGCAGAGTTAAGATTTAAATTGAAAATCTACATCTATATTTTGCATTTAACTTGCATCAACATGGCAATATAGTGCAGCATACAGGTAATGAGATAACTCCCTGAGAAAGTATAATGTACGTAGTGGAGTCATGGTATCCTGAGCAGAGAACACACACTCACACTCCCTTTGCCTGTGTTCCTATCCCAGCCCGTCTGTGCTTTGTTTACAAATCCGGTCTAGCCGTGTGTGCATGGTACTGCATTGCACTGTTAAACAAAAGAGCTTTCTCTTCAAAGATCCTTTCCATGTTGGTGTCAGACACTTGGAAAAACAATCTGAGGTGCAGACACAGGTATGGCAACATCTAAAGTAATATGAGTAAAAGTCCCCTGAAACCACTTAATATTTAATCTATTTGAGTACAAAACAGTTTCTATGGTGTGTTGTATGTATGGAGATAAAAAGGAGACGGGACGAGGATTCGCCAACATTACATGGCAGCCATAGCAGCTCGTTTGTTTATTTTCATCTAACTAATTTAGGCTTTATTTAATCCAATCCAGTGTTGAAAGACTGTTGAAAGACGGTTTTGGTAAGTGGCTGTCCAGTGTGTTTTATGATTACCTGCAAGGCAAAATTTGTGGTTCTGTCAAAGGAGTTTGGTCGGCCATGGTGCCCATTGTTTTGCTCAGAGATGCTGGTGCTCTACTGCGACATCTAGTGGTACATGAATTTTATATAACCTTTCAGGCTGTATTTTTATTTATTTTTTTAGATTTTGCTCCACTTTAAATGTCCCACGCAAGATCCAAAATCAGCTAAGAAGGCAACTATGAACTTAGTTAAAATATTCTCCAGAAAAAAATCTTCCAATGTTAATCCATCCAACATCATCAAACACCTTGGTACTCATGTTTGCAGTGTCCAACATACAGAGGCTCTGCTTGGATGCCACGCCTTGAGGAGAAAGGGAAGCAGAAACAGAAAAGAAGACATTATGAGAAAGATCCCAGTGTCTTGTTGAGGTATGCTGGCACTAAGTTCTTTTAAGGTCCAAGGTAAAATACCTCAGGAGCTTGCAGCGAAAGTCCTGCAAACGAGGAAACGCCTTGTCCACATTGGAGGTCTGCTTCTCATCACTCCACAGTCTCTCTGCTGCAGCGCTTGCCCTTGGCCTGAGATTTTGGGTGCAATCAGTGATTATTTTGAATGATTTTTTGAAATTGTTACTGCACTTACTTAGTTGATTAGTTTAGTGATTTTAAGGGTCTTTTTAATTTCATACCAAAGACGTGGAGAGAGATTGGTGGCATCAACATATTCTCCCCACATGCAGACCTCACCCCCTATCACCAGCTTCTTCTGTTCCTCAGTACCTGTGAAGGGATGGGGAATAAAATAATGATTTTCTTTTAATTAAGGGCAGGCTGGTAATAAGTTTAGTACAAATCAGAATCTTCATGTCAAATTTATCAAACCACTTCAAGTGAAAACTCAGCAAATGGGCCTAAATGTGCCTCTATAAATGGTAATTCCCATTGGCAGCTCCCATCACCAGAGAAGTACCATCACCAGGACAACAAGTACTTGGCCATCCACACACCAGAAAAGTTCTGTGGCTGTACAGTGTAGTAGTTGCGCCAGTCCTGGCCATAGGAAATGTGGTTGATGTACCACGGGGCGGCCAGCAGGACCCTCATGCCAGCTTTGGTGATCCTGCTGAGCTCTTCCTGATACTTAGCTGGGATGCCCTTCCAGATGTGCAGCACTGTGTCCTTAGGAATCTGCGCAGGGTGACAAACAACATGCTGTCTTGCCCTTCTGTACTATATTGCTACTAACTTGTCTGCCTGCTGTATCTTTGTATCAATTATTCCGTTGACATTTAGTGTTTTGTATTTCACAAAATAGACACAGAAAAAATCCTTAATGAACTGTCATCAGCAAGGGCAACCTTCCCAACCCTCATATGGGGCAAAGCATCTGAACTTTAGATTCCATACTGCGATAACATAGTCAAAACTAGGCTGTTAATAAACTCAAAGTCTCATCAGAATATCCCTTCTCCAAAATATCACCATGCTGTGCAAAGTGCCTGATGAAACTAATGAACGAAAGAACAATGGGAACTTCTCCCATTATACTGTAAAAAAAAAAAAAATTCTTCAGAAGCAAATGACTGATAGACTTGGGCATTTGCTTTCATCATTTGACGCAAGTAGATTTGTAAAATAACTGCCAATGGCAATATTTTTATTAGGTGTTTAGGGGAAATCTGCATGTCTGCCACAGGCCTGTACAGACAGCATTGTGAGCATGTACCACAGCAAGCACACCTCTCTGAAGCTCCCAGTTCCATACTACATACTTATTCTAGGTGAAGTACTGTTTGTAGTGTGTGCACACAGGAAAATTTAATTAAATTTAAAAAGTACTTTGATGTCTATGCTACAAAGATTTGTGTACAATACTTTTTGTATACAATTAGTATCCCATATGGAATTGGGACAGAGAATATGTCTCTGTAACAATGATGCATGGACAAGAGCATCAGTGCCACCTAGTGGTCCGGCTACAAATAAAATATTGTGTGTTGGCCTAACAGTTAAATGTTTTGGCCATGTATGTCCTATATTTTACAGGAAACCACATTTTACCTGTAAATTATCATGAAAGACAAAAACCACAGCAAATAGTACAAGCCACAGCACACAGGTTATTTTCTGACCCTTGAAGGCGAGGGGCCACACAGTGTAGTAGCGGGCCCAGTTGTGTGTGGGTCCTGGCAGGTCCAGATACCATGGAGAGGCCAGAATAACCCTGAGCCCTGCTTTAGCCACTCTGCGTACTTCACACAGGTAACAGCCCTCTCTCCATACCTCCACCACTGACAGAGAGCTACGCTGCAAAACAATGCTGTAGACTATCAGACTTACATGAACTGGTTGTGTTTATCAGACAACATACTTTTAAACATTGTTGGTCTGTTGATTCAAACCATTAAACCTGTTGAGGTCAAATGTTATTGTTGTTGTTGTTATATTTAAAAAATATTCAATATGTTAAACATAATAGATCATGTATGTGGATGACTACGCAAGTGTTTATTCTAAATATTTTAATTATAATAGGCTAATTATGTTTAAATGTGACAGATTTCCCTCTAAACATTTTAAAAATATTATTTTTGCTTGAGCCAACACTGTGAATGTCTGAAAAAATGTAACATGTTTGAAAATATATGCTTCATGTGTAAGATCTCCTTCAGAGAATGCAGATACTTTGACATAGTATAATTTTTTTAGACGTCTGCACCAATATCAGTGTAATATTTCAACTTTTCTAATCATATTTTAAATAATATCTTTAAAATATACAGTTTTGTTTCACATCATAGAGGTTATTTGTTGGGGTGTACTTACTCGTTCATGGTAGTCAAACACATCCTGCCACACGATAGAGGTCTTGTTGAGAGCTGACGTGATATTCACAATGCTGGAAACAGAGACATTAATGACATTAGTAATGTTAACGTGTTTGTTGGTGTCTTTCCCCTGAGCTTTCTACACTGTGTGTTCCTACTTCTCCATGTAGAATGCTTCCAGTTTGGTGAAGTCTGAGCCAAATCCCATCTTCTGCATGAATGCTCGGACATCAGGGTTGGATTTCCTATGGAAACAATTCATTTATCTATATGCTAATTGTTTAAACACATTTTTCAGAAGCTTATGGTAACTTCAACAAAATCTATTTATCTATTTATTTTACTGTAAAATCAAATACATGCACCTACATCAATTACTTTAAAATATATATATTGTATTTTTGAATAGATGAAAACAAATACACAGACACAGACAATGTAGATCACACTGCAGTGTCGGGCACTAAAAGATTTTAACAGCAGGACCGGACTTTGCAGACAAATAAAAGGTGCCCTTATTCGCTGACAAGTCCAATAACAATGTAAACAAACAATAGTGATCAAAACCAGGAAATCCTTGGCTCTGTTCTTCTAAAGTGGTTTAACTCATTGCAGCTAACATGCAGTTATAAGGCTGAAATATTTGTATTTATAAGTTTATTCTCATCCAGCTAATTTGGTTCTTTGAACGCAGTTTGCGGATTGATTTGTTAATCCTGGATGAAGTTATGTTAACAGTGTGCTCTTATTTTGATATAAAGGCAAAATTAGAGAGTTGAAACCATGATCAGCATTCATATGCTTGGCTGAGTGCTCAACATGCAATTGCAGTTATGTGTACTGGGAACTTTATTTTGTTGTATATTCTATCATGTATAAGTAGCTTAAGTTACACGTCATTGTGAAAATTAAATTGTGGTAATTACATCAAGAGATCATATCGATTTCTCAATAACCTGCATGTTCTCATAGAAAACCATAATTATATAAACACTCTTCCATTATATATCTAATAAAGCAAACCATTTGTATCTGAAAATTAGTTCAAGTATGAAAAGATGTCTTGGTCATGATCCCACTGTCTATAAGCCTGCACTTTTGTAGGTTGGGCTTAAGGACTTATTGCTCTGACCACAGTTCCAGATTCATTTTAAACCTGCTTTGCAGAACCAAACAAAATCCAGACTTGTGTCAAATTTTACAACTTCCTAATCTTGATAGCTGAGTTATCTATGTATGATGAATGGCCCAGGTTGAAATCATTAACAGTGAGCATTTAAATGATCTCTCACATTTTTTCTTACCAGCAGGAAAAGTCAACCTCATCCCCTCCTAAGTGGATGTAAGAATCAGGAAACACTGATGACACTTCCTTAAATAGTCTCGCCATGAACTGGTAGGTGGAGGGCAAAGCTGGATTAACAGGACCAAAAGTACCTGAAGGGGTGCCCCCATTGTAGCAGGGAGTCAACAGGCCAGGTTGCCCTGGAAAATAAATATTAGGTTCCGATTTAGTTCAGCATTTAGTTTCTTTCATTGCCTGTTGAGTTCAGGCATTTTTACTCAAGTAGCCTCCTAAGTAGAAGTGAGTCAAGCTCAAAATTCAGTACATGTTTTGTTGCTATTTATAGTCTTGATTTGCAGGTTTAGCTGATTCTTGTGAAACTAAACTGGGCACAATGCCAAGTACTTTATATGTTAAAGATCAAGAAGCTGAGAAATAAAACAGTTGTTTTTAAAAGCAAATGTGGCTCATTTTGTTTTTGAATTTTACCTTTTCCCCAAGATGTAGTGTGGCCGGGTGAATCAAACTCAGGAAGGACTCTAATTCCCCACAGCCTGGCATGTGAGATCACCCTTCTTACATCGGACTGTGTGTAGATGTGAGTCATCGGATGGAAAGCCCCCTGAATCAGAGCCAGAAGCCTTTGTTCAGGGTGGATGCAACTTTTCACTATTTTCCCACCTCATGAATCACCCTTGCAGTGGGCCTAGTTAAAAACTTAGGATAATATAAAATAACGAGTTTCATCTCCTGAAGTGCAGATAAAAAATGGTTACAAGCTAAATTATAATGGATGTGCAGAGTCATGGTGCACATGACTCGAGGTGGCTGATTATTTTTTTATTACTTCATCCACATGACATACCTTACTGGAAAGATCTGGAAAGCTGCTGCTCTGATAAGGGAAGGAGGGGTCATCAACAATGTGCCAGTGAAACACATTGAACTTACTGTAGGCCATTGCATCCTAACAAGAAAGACATATGTTACTATCACTGACAAGCATGATCAACAAAAGCGAGGGGCTGAAGTTAATTTTATTTCATTTGATTTTTACCAGAGTTTTTAAAATGGCCTGCACGGGTAAATAATGACGTGACGTGTCCAACAAAATCCCTCTGAACTGAAACCGGGGGAAGTCTTCAATCTCAGTCTTGTTGATAAAATACTAAAAGAAGAAGAGAATCAGAAAAGGTATTTAATTCAATTGATCCATACTGAGCATTAATAAAGTTCTATAATAAGCTGATACTGTGTATGAGTAATGACTTCAGAGGCTTTGTGAGTTTGAGTGTTCAAAAAAATTCTGACTTACAGAGCCAAAATCATTTTGATAGACCAGCTGACTGAAGGTTTCCAGACCTGTGCTTAATCAGAGGATGTAATCAGCAATCATTTTATTTTCACAAATAATGGTGAGCTTCTTCTGTCAGTTAGTAAATGTTGGATAGCATGAGAAATGTAGTAAAACCTGCTAAACAGGCTTTGATTGAATTGTTCATTTAATCTTTTGCACTTTTGTTCACACGTTGCTTGTACATGTCTTTTAAAATGTATTGGTTATAATCACCTCTTAAAGCACCCCACACGGTTTCTGCCTTCAGAGATGCTTGTCCTGCAGAGACACTCAGATTGTCTAGTACACAAACAGGAAGCAAGTTAGATAATGCATCAACCCCTACTTGTTGGGACTGTTGTTGCCATGGTGACATCATATACATTTGTTAACACTTACATCTCTCGGAAGAGTCCTCATTTGGGTAACCCTCACAATCATCGTGGTCAATACTGACCTCGACAGTAAATGGTTTATACTGACTGAAATGCAGACGTCCTGTTGGTCATAAAAAGGGAAACCATTACTCACTAGTTGCTGGGTTAAATGTTTTAAGAGAAGTAATGCCTGGGAAATTTCATTATGACACGCTCAAACTACCTTTATTCTATAACCTACAGTAATTTTGAAAACACAAACATGAAGCTGTGCCACTCCATTGGTTCATTGTCATTGTGGGGTTTTAGAGTAGGTAGGCCTACACTGCCTGACTGATGAACTGCTGCCTCCACAAAGCCCATTGAGCTATTTTAAAAGCCAACATGACAAACAGAACATTCAAAACAAAAGCCCTTTGCACTTTATTTTTGTCCATTCATAAAGCAGTCTTACACGTGTGAATCACAAGCTCATCTTATAGCCAGGCTTTGCACATACATTATTACATTTTATATCACATATCACATAGCACAGCAAATTATGGTCCTATGGAAATTATGGTATATAGTGCTGCCACAGTAAATGAAAATATGTAAGTGCCATAGAAACACTGTAAGTACATCTGTGAATATTTCCTATTTTTTTATTAGACTGGACCTTTAAACTTCAGCAAGGTGAAAAATCTTACTGTCTGTTTCACCATAGTCTTAATTCAACCTCACTGTATCACCTACCATCAGTGTAGTCTGGAAAAATAAGAGAGAAATATCTCCTAAATGCAGAATCCAGAACAGAACAACCCTGCTGTGCGGCTGATTGTCTTCCGTAACCAAAGTAGAAAGCCTGCGGGTTCAGCGGGTACCGCTCCGTTGAGGAGGTGAAAGCCTGCGGTAATGGCCATACTCCCTCCACTGTGTGCAGGTTAAGCTGGAGGACACTCAGTATTAGTAAATACACATTTAGGCGAGTATATCGCCCAGACCTAACCATATACATGACTTCCATATCACTCTATCCGGCGGAACACTACACTGTCAAACTGTGCCAGTCAGGTGCTGAAGAGCATGCAGTCACATGACCGGGGCCACAAGGTGTGGGTGTTTCTTCTTTTTTTTTTTTTAAATCAAAGGTGAAATAAATGCCTTACACCGTGTTTAAATGTTGTGTTTTTTTATATTTAAGAGACGTATCCGTGCAAACTATTTTTTTAAATCGCTCATATCTTTGCGGTTTTATCATTAAAACACATTTGAGTTCTGTGACAACTGAAGCAAACGCAAACGGAAACTGTGGGAGACGAAAAAAAAAAATAGGTTACCATGAATTAGGCTACAAAAATAAGGCTTGCTTGTATGCAGATCAAATTATGACAGTTTTACTAAGTCAAAACACCCGTGGAGCATTATATGTAATGTTAGAGTCGTATTCGTTATAAGTTTTGGTATTTTTTTAACCGTTGGGGGAGTTGGGTGTTTTGTTCCTGCGAGTGTTTGAATCGGATGTAATATATTTTTGTGTGTATTTTTAAAAACAATTTGAAAACATATTAACGTGTAAATAAAAGTGTGTCATATATTTAAAAAATATATATATATATATATTTTACATTTTCTTGTACAGCCCATCTGACGTAAGGCCAGCGTCAGTTGGTGACGCTGTGTCTCTTTGTTGGCTTAGCAGCGGCGACGTTTTGTTGTTATTTTCGCTGCAGCTGAAAAACAGGCTCGGATAATTTTGGTTTTCGTATTGTTCCGCAATCAACATTTCTCACACTGTAGACCTTTAGGTGTGCTTGTCACAAGTTGATAACCACCCTAGGAATGGACTCAGACGAGGGTTATAACTATGAATACGACGACGAAGAGGAGGAATGTAGCGAGGACAGCGCCGAAGAGGAGCCCGAGGACGACACCCTGGAGCTCGGAGAGGTTGAGTTGGTCGATCCCGTGGTGGCCGGTGGGGATCGAGACGAGTGCGGCGAGACTGGTGGAGGTGGCCACGGTCCCGGTGAGGAAGAGGAGGAGGACTACCGCTTCGAGGTTTTGACTGCCGAGCAGATCCTCCAGCATATGGTGGAGTGTATCAGGGAGGTCAACGAGGTCATCCAGGTAGGTATTTTGGTATGTCAGCGTCAGGAAAGACCGGGGTCCAGGCTTGGGTGAAGCGTAAACAGGCCTTGGACGTTAGCTTAGCATTAGCTCTGTAGGAGTAGTTTACTTGCTGGAAGTTGGCAGTTTCACAACAGTGATAACGTTTAAACACACCAAAAAAAAAAAACTCAATTTAGCATTTGTGTGTGTCCGTAGCACTTAACATGATGCTATGGACAACGTCAAATGTGCAAATTAAAGCAACAATCTCCATGCGTTTTTTTTCCCCCTTCTTCCAGGAAGTAGTCTAATCCCAGTTGAGAAGTTGGCAGCAACGTTTGCTAAGCTAATGTTAGCTTGCAAGTTAGCTACCTTGCTAACTAGCCAACTGTAACCGTTAACCGAGCCAAACGCGTTAACGTCTTTCAGTTCTAGAATTGGATCGCTTGACTACCAACTCCTGCTAGGTGACGGTTGGAGTGCGTTAACCGAGCAACTGAAGCTCAAGGTTATTAAACGTGTGATATTACATTAGCGTTGACGTTATTTCAGTGTTGGACGAAAGGCTTGGTCATCGAGTTAGTTAGCAAGTTACATGCTAGGATACTTAACAGTTTACAAGCTATCTTATCGTGATCTCCACATCTTTTGGGGACGGACCGTATGTACGAACATTATAGTTAATCTGGCGAGAAGTAAAGTTTTAAATTAAATATCAGGGGAACTCATCGGATCCCTTCGACTTGTCGTTAACTCGGGCCTCCATTTCCGTTCACTTCACTTCAATTGGGCACAGAATAAAATGGAAAGGGGTCTTCGTAGACTTGCCACTATTTGCGTTTTTAATCAGCAGCGTTGCATTTTACACCAAGTGTTTTTGAGTGTCACCATTTCACTATAAACGAGCCCCAAAACCAAAATGGATAAAGTATCGGTTACTGTAGTGTGGATACAGTACAGCCGCATGGCAGTTGTTTCCTCAGCAGACAACTGGCATGGTGATTCCTCTAAAAATAGTATTTAGGTCTACTTCATTTTCAGATTTTTGTGTATCTGAATTTTTCATCTTGGAATATGTGACAATAGGATAGTTAACTTGAATTTACTTTTCTTGTAAATGTCTCTAGTGACTGTGCCTTCACATGTCAAGAGTGACTGATTTTGCCTGGCCTCTGAAGACACTTTAGGGGTAAAGTTACAAGTGGCTGATGAATTTTTGTCATCTTTAGAGACTTTGTAGATTGTCAAAGATTGCACTGCAAACTTCAGAATGACATACTGTAACAGGCTAACCTTACATACATTGTTAATGAGTGTACTGAGAGGTTTTTCTAGTACCCTCCCTCCCAGGTGTCTCCCCAGAAACGCCTCTCCATAACTCAGTGCAGTTCAACACCACCACAAACTACAGCCTCTAAAATGACTATAACATTAATTCAACACCTCTCTAAAACATTATCAACAAAAACTGAACCTTCATGAAGGTAGCATTTATTGCCATATTGTTGTAAAAGACAGCATTAGTTTTAGCTAGGCGAACATAATAAACTGACAACTGAGGGTATTATGTTGTTTTCTGTTGTCATACATTATTGATACATTGGTATCAATGTCATGATTTGTTCTCTTTAGGTGTATATAACTTGAATTGCATTGTTTTTATGCAGGAACTCTTGTGCTTTGTGGCAGTTAAGCTTTTTCCCTTGTCTGTTTTTGGGTGACCGTGTGTGTGTACGTGTCTCAATCAATCTCTCTGAATTCTGCATAACTGAAAGCAATGCTTAATGCTTTGAGAAGTGTATATGATCACTGCCGTTTGAGAAATTATTGCACATTTTTAGAAAAATGTTTTCCCAACATTGCTCCAACGATATCTTTACAGATTATCTTGTATCCCAATACACTCATTATCACAGAGCACATCAGCGAACACTGTATTCCAGTAGTATTGTCATGAATTACCCTGTGATTCCCATCCCTAATTACATCAGGATGAACCCAACTAAACATGTATATGAAAAGGTACATCAATACAATTCGCAATCCCCAGAGAACAATCCCCAGTGTTTTACTTACACAGTACCAATATGTACTCTCACAAGCAAACTGCATTTGCAAAACAAATTTTTGTCTTGTGTTAATCAAAGGAATTTTCACTGCTGGAGTGCAGTCTCGAGTCTGTTGGGTACCAACAATCAATTCATTGGTTTTCCCTGACTGATAGTCAGAGTGTTTCTGTAACAATACACAAAGCTGTGTGTGGGGGTTGTACATGTATAGGTCTGTATGACATTGCACACTCAAACTGATTTTTAAAATTGGACAGAAACCCCAATTGTCCCCTCCCCAACATGAGTCTGTGCCTTACTGAGTGATGAAGTTACACCATTGGGAGTTTCCCCATTGGCTGTTGCTCTCTTAAAATTAATAGGCACGATTGAACCTGGCTGTTCATATTAGAACCTCATTTGTTCACACCGGTCATCAAGTGATTCTGTTCTTCTGCCATTTTCTAAACACATGTAGAGCTGATCTTTATAATTAAGGGCTGTGTGTCCCTTCATGTCTACCTGTGTCTCTCATTCTCTGCTTAGATATAACTATGTGGAATATGTACGTAATTCAAAAAGCACAGCAGTGATTCAATTTCTAATACATATAGTGCATGGGCAGTGGAAACGGGGGCAGAGAAAGCAAAATCATTGGCAAGTACGGGATGCATATGTCATCATTTATCAGAATCCAACCCTTTATATCATACATGGAAAACCATTTATATTGTTTATAGATTATCAGTGTTTTCTTTCCAGATACCTCATGGCACACAGGAAATAATAGAACAGAAGCCAATACTATCGCTGCCCAGAATATTGCACGTGAACAATTAATGTTTATGTCTGTACAGAAAATGGTAAATGGGCCTGTACTTGTATAGCGCCTTTCTAGTCTTCCGACCACTCAAAGCACTTTTACACTATGTGAGACATTCACTCAGTGATGGCAAAGTCCATCTAACAGAAACTAACATTCATACATATTCACACACCGATGAGACACACCGCAAATCGGGAGCGATTTGGGGTTCAGTATCTTGCTCAAGGATGCTTTGACATGTGGCTCCAGGAGCCGGGGATCGAACCCACAACCTTCCGATTAAGGAGCAACCCGCTCTGCCTCTGAGCCACAGCCGCCCATAGGGAGAGTAGAATCACATAGTTCAGAACTTCAAATGTTCTTCTATTGGTGAACCATCATTAACTTATGCAGACACTGTCACTGCGTTGGTTTGCAACTTTCCATTGACTTTGCATGCCACCTCTAAATTTCGCCTCGCATCATATAACTTTATTGCAGGGAAGCATCAAATGTGGCAAATCGTGAACCAAAGTTGGGTTTCTCTCAGCATTCACAGAGAACAAATAGTAGGCAGCGGATAGAAAACCTGGAGTGGCTCTCGAGTGATCACTGAACACGACCTTGGTGTTTGTGTTTCTTCTAGAGCACAACACTGGCAGGGGTAAAGCATATGTCTGCATGTTACTATATGGACTTATAGAATTAATGCAGAGGTGCACTGATGCTATTCTAGTGGCTCTTGGTGGCCTGGCACGTTACTAATCGACCAAGTTCACTTTCAAATGTAGCACTGGCTAGCTTACATTTTTCAGTTAGTGACATAAGCTTACTTTAGCTCTAGGTAATTACTTCATTTATTCAACTGCATTGTATATTCACTACCTTTGTTAGTGACTTCAGTCTCATCTCTAACCAAACTGACTGTATCCAATCCAACTTTATTTGTTAAGCACTTTAAAAACAACCAAAGTTGACCAAAGTGCTGAACAGGAGAATAAATAGGACATCATAAATGTAAATGATTGTAGCCAATGGCAACTATGCAATAAGAAATGCTACTAGGTTGAAAAACGGCATCCAAAGAATATATTTTCTGCAATGTTATTTGCTCATTTATGC